TGGGATTGCTGGCTCCCAACCACTTGCCTGACTGCCTGCCTGATTGCCCCTAACCACTTCTGCCTGCCAGCCTGATCATCCCCTAACTACTCCCCTGACAGCCTGATCGATGCCTAACTGCTCCCCTGCTGGCCTGATCACCCGCAACTGCCCTCCCCTGCTGGCCATCTTGTGAGGGTGTGATGGTCAATTTGCATATTATCTCTTTATTATATAGGATTATCCAGGAGAACAATTTCTAAGGAGCTCCTTTTAAGAAACACAGGTATAGACAATTCATTCATACATTCAACAAATATGAGCACCCACTATATATGGCAGGCACTCTGCTGGGTGCTCATAAGAAAAGTCGGGAATCCAGCTTCTTCATGCATGCCAGTGAGGGAGCCAGGCAACACACAAGCAATCATCGAACACATTATTAAAAACTGTGATGTGCTATGAAGGATAATTGTAGGAATTATGAGAGAATCTCATTTAGACTGGGATAAGGTCAGGGAATGCCTCTTTGACAAAGTGATATTTAAGCTCAAGTCTGAAAGATAACTAGAAGCCAGTCAGGTAAGGAGTGGGGACAAACATTCTAGGCAGGAAGGAAAGCATGTGTAAATTTCTTCCAGAGTTTGGAAACAGCAAATAGATGATATCGATAATAATTATTAATTTGGGGAAGAAGGTCCAGATTTCAGTTTTTGGACATGATTACTTTGAGATGCTGGGACATAATTAGGAATATACATTTGGTCTCTGTTCCCAGTTCCTGGCATAGAGCTTCTAAAACTCTTGCAACTTTCTGAGTGATAGGGGTGAGAGGAGTATCTTTTGTTATTCATAATATGCCCTTTCCAACCATACCTTCGTTTATTCTAATGAGGTGACTCTTGGAGGATGGGGCTGGTCACTAGAGGAAGTGACCATGTGACTAAAGGGAGCAACTTCTAGTCCCTGTCTCCCCTTCCCCTCTTCTCCTCCCCATCGTCCACACACACTATGGCCTCTGGGGAGAGGAGAGGGGCTGAAATTGACTTAATCACCAATGGCCAATGAATCAATCAGCCATGTGTATGTAGTGAAACCTCCCTTAAAACCCAAAACACAGGGTTTAGAGAGCTTCCAAGGTGGTGAAAACATGGAGGTGATGAGAGGGTGGCACATCCAGAGAGGGCATGGAGCTCTGCATACATAGTAGTCCCTCCTCCCATACCTTGCCCTACCCATCTCTTCTTTTTGGCTATCTTCTACTTGAGCTGTGTCCTTTAGAATAAACTGGTAATAGTAATTAAAACGTTTCCCTGAGTTTTGTGAACGCTTCTAGCAAATCATCAAAACCATAAAAGGCATTGTGAGAACCTTTGATTTACAACCAGTTGGCAACCTGGGACTTGTGATTGGTGTCTGAGTCGGGGCAGTCTTGTGGGACTGAGCCCTTAACTTGTGGCATCTAACACTATCTCCAGGTAGACTGTGTCAGAATTAAAATTAATTGTAGCCTGGCCAGCGTTGCTCAGTGGTTGAGCATCGATCAGGAGGTCACAGTTTGATTCCCAGTCAGGGCATATGCCCAGGTTGCAGTGTGGGGCATGCAGGAGGCAGCCAATCAATGATTCTCTCTTATCATTGATGTTTATATCTTTTTTTCTCTCTCCCTTTCTCTCTGAAATCAATAAAAATATATTGATTATTTAACAGAATGAATTGTAGAGCACCTAGTCAGTGTTCACAGAGAATTAGAGAATTTCTTGGTGTGGGAAAAAACCCACCCATTTGGTATCAGAAGCATTGTGAATTCAAAACACTCCCCACCCCCCTTTAGATCCCATGAGATATTTAAAAGGAATGTAATAAGTACAGTAATTGGAAATGAGCTTGGAGCTCAGAAAATAGATTCAGTTTAAATAGTTAAATTATAATTTGCTTGTATTTTAATAAAATTTTACTGAAATTATAGTAAAATCAGTGGTGGATGCATGAAAAATAAATCACCAATTGTGCCTGTTCTAACCAGGGAGGAAATACCTGAATGTACCTTTAATTTAATCTTATTTTCCTTAATAAGAACAAAGCTCATTCTGGTGATTAAGGCTCTTAAAGCCCCGGGGAGTCCCAGCTGGCAGCCTACTAGCTGTTCCAAAGCCAAAGAGAGAAAGTGTTTGTGTCTGCTTAAAAATGGAGTAATTAATGATGTGGGAAAACCATTTTCCTTTATTTGCTTCTCAACATGATGGCTGTATGATGAAGGATACTTGCTAGAATTGAATATTAATACTACAAGAGAAAAAAGATATGAGCTGATATGTTTGCATTGTATGAAGAATGCTCAGATGTTTAGTAGATATGCTGCAAAGATCAAAATAGCATCGTAAAACATCTAGAGAATTCTATATGTAAAACTACTAGAAAATGATGACATCCACACGGAGCCGTAGGCGTCTCAGTGCTAATAAGGGAGGTGGTGAGATGGAAGAGGGTATGGGGGGATAGATGGTGATGGAAATAAAAGAATACTAATAAGAATTGGTTATCACATGGACGTGTGCTGGATGATTTTCCTGGAAACAAAGCAATGGTAGGAATATTTTGGGGAGGAGAGGACATGGGAAGGTGGGGGCTAGGAGCACTGGAAGTAAGACATGACTCCTTGGCCCACGTCCTTTGTCAACATGCTTCATATTCATTCTTAATATCTCAACTCAAATTTGAGGAAGTCTAATCTGATTACATGCCACCCCCTCCCCCCAACCCAGTCAGGTCTGTGTCATAGGCTCTCACAGAAACGAGACCTCCAATCACAGTATAGAATACATTGTAATTAAGTCATTGTTTATAGGAGTAGAGATCTCAGTCTATAGCTCAGGTGATCAAGAAATATAACAGCCCAGCTGGCATTGCTCAGTGGTTGAGCATCAACCCAGGAACCAGGAGGTCATGGTTCTATTCCTGGTCAGGGCACATGCCCGAGTTGTAGGCTCTGTCCCCAGTGTGGGACGTACAGGAGGCAGCCCATCAATGATTCTTTCTCATTATTGATGTTTCTATCTCTCTATCCCTCTCTCTTCCTCTCTGAAATCAATATAAATATTAAAAAAAGAAATATAACTTAATTTATACTTTAAGATTCATTCAGCCATGGTGATAGAACTATAACTTCAGTCAATTTGGGGTCCCAAAGGGTTCTGTAGTTCTGTAGCATTAAGCGTCTATAGTTAGAGAGGAAGAGGAGGGGAGGAGGGTACTGGGAGTGACCACTTTGTCTTTAGTGATATCTGTCCATGAAGCTGTCTGTCCAGACACCTGGAGTCCTATCTGGTTCTATTTCCTTAAGCACCTAGGCTATTGGACTAGAGCAGCCAGAGAAACCCCCAGAAAAGCTTTTCACTGCCATACCTCCTCTGGGGCAAAGAACACAGCTTCACCATTTCAGTAGGGAGAAAGCAAGAAGAGGAAAGGACATAGCTAGAGAGAGAAAACTCTGGTTAACCTTTTTTAAAATATGTATATTTTATTAATTTTTTACAGAGAGGAAGGGTGCGGGATAGAGAGATAGAAACACTGATTAGCTGCCTCCTGCACCCGCCCTCCACCGGGGATGTGCCCACAACCAAGGTACATGCCCTTGACTGGAATCGAACCCGGGACCCTTGAGTCCGCAGGCCAACGCTCTATCCACTGAGCCAAACCGGTTAGGGCTGGTTAATATTTTTTTTAAAAGGGTAATTAAACATACATTTACAGCCCTGGCTGGTTTGACTCAGTGGATGGAGCGTGGGCCTGCGGATTGAAGGGTCCCAGGTTCCATTCCTGTCAAGGGCACGAGCCCCGGTTGTGGGCTCAATCCCCAGTAGGGGGCGTGTAGGAGGCAGCCGATCAATGATTCTCATCATTGATGCTTCTGTCTTTGTCCCTCTCCCTTCCTTTCTGAAATCAATAAAAATATATTTTAAAAAAGATGTTTAAAACAAAACAAAAATCAAAACAACAACATACATTTACTGTTTGTGAATGTGTAGTGGAAGTTATGTAGGAGAAATAATTTGCCAGTTTTTACCAGCTCTGTAAGTCTAGTGTGGAAGCTGAAACCTGTTTTCAAAACAGTAGAGGAAAAATATTTTAGATTATTATCCAAAAAGTGAAAGCAACCCAGATATCCACTGATAAATGATAAATGAAAATATAGTCTATATACATAGAGCAAGATATTGTTCGTTCTGAAGAAGGAAGGAAACCCTGTCACATGCTGCAACATGGATGAACCTTGAGGACATTATGATAAGAGAAAAAAGTCACAAGAAGACACACACGTGGAGCCCAATCCACAGATAGGAAGCAGAATGGTGTCACCAGGGGCTGGGGGAGGGAAGGGGAGTTGTTCCATGGGTACAGGGTTTCAGTTTTGCGAGGTGGAAAGACTTGTGGAGATCGATGGTGGTGATGGTTACACATTGTGGATGTGCTTAATGCTCACTTAAAATGTTTAACTCTGGGCTGAGTCGGGAGATGGGGTCCAAGGTCCAGGGCGCGATGCGCGGGAGGCTGTGGGCTGCTGGGGAGGTTCGGCCCTGGCGCCTGGCGGCCGGGGCGCCAGGTGTGGCGGGGCCTCCCCCTGTTCCCCGGGCCGCTGCTCCGCGAGTCCCGCGGGGCCCGCACTAACCTAGGCCCTAGAGGGTCGGTGACTGGGGGCCCCGGGGACCGGGTGGGGGAACGAGGGAGAAAGCGAGGGGAACCCCAAGGGAGAGGTGGAAGTGCGGAGGCGGTGGAGTGCCGGCGGCGGCGCTGGGGGACCCAGCCGCGTGAACCCCGAACGCAAGCAAAGAGGGTAACATCTATTCCTGAAAGTGTGGGGGGCTCACGGGTGCATAACCTTCTCTCGAAGTGTGTAGCAGAGCTAAAGAAGACAACCAACTAGGGTTCACCCATCTGAGAGTGTAATTGGCTCACGAATCCAGGACAAAGTGAGGGGTCACAGCTCCAGCATAAGTCCTTTTCCTGTCGCCGCTACGAAGATGCTTGACACAAAGGCTTGGGCTGAGCGCGCTGTGGAATGGGCTGCAAAGGACCCAGATGGCTTCCTTGCAACAGTTATTTCGGCCCTTACTCCACTGTTTCTAGCACGCGCTGTACTGTCTTGGAAGCTGGCCAAGATGACTGAGGCCAGGGGAAAGGAGCAAAAGAAAACACAAAAACGCCAAGAAAATACTGCAAAAACGAAACGACTGAAAAAGGACTGAAGGAATGAACAGGCTCCTCAACCAGAGGAAACTCATTTGGGAGGAGCTGCAAGGTTTCTTTTCTGGATTTATGACAGTATTTAACAAATGGAGCCTGAGCCTATGGAAGAATCATGTTAGTTCTGACCGCTACTGTAGCAACTTTTAGGCTTCTGCATAGAAGTCTATTGACAGTTATTGTAAATTGGCATTTATTATGCTAAAAATGCTTTATAACTGACTTAGTCATTTGCCATTTTGCAGCTTAAAACATCCTATGGAGCCCTAACCGGTTTGGCTCAGTGGATAGAGCATCAGCCTGTGGACTGAAGGGTCCCAGATTCGATTCCTGTTAAGGGCATGTACCTTGGTTGCGGGCACATCCCCAGAAGGGAGTGTGCAAGAAGCAGTTGAATCAATGTTTCTCTCTCATCGATGTTTCTAACTCTCTATCCCTCTCCTTCTCCCTTCCTCTCTGTAAAAAAATCAATAAAATATATTTTAAAGAAAACATCCTATGGAGAAAAAATGACTTTAGATTATGAACTCTATTCAAATAGTGGGGCCTTGACTTACGAGTTTAATTTGTTGCGAGACCGAGCTCGTTAAGGAGCTCGTTGATTCAAATTACTCTATCAACTCAATGCTAAAAATCAGCAGAGAGACAGCTGGTATCTCAAAAAACTCATTAGTCAGGACACTCGTAAGTCAAGGCCCCCACTGTATAGGCTCAAAAAGGGTCCTGTTCTGGACAAAGGAAACTAAGAATGTAAAAATGAGAACTGTCCTGAGGTGAAAAGTATGCTTTGGCTTAAAAGAGATGCAGTATATTAATTACATCTTTTATCATTATTGCTTATGTCTTAGAATCATTTCTGGCTTTCTCAAAGCAAAATATTATTAACCAGTGAGTACTTCACTTTCTACATTTTTCTCATTCTAGCCTTTGAGAGACTGATAATTATCAGACATTCTGCCTTTTTCTAAATCTAATTTTATAAAAAATTCTCTCATCTTCATTGTATAGAGTACCACCTACTAACAATTTGTACTTATGAACACTGCCATTTATTTAGAGATGACTTACGGAGTAGCGTAACACTGTGACTTAAAGCTTGCAGTAAAAATGGCAACCCTTATAGAACTTTGGAACCGGTGTATTCTTACTCGTGCTAAGAAGAAATGTAAAGTAATTAAAATGTCTTACCTGATAATTTGCTGATTATGTAGATACCACTTTTAACTTTTATTCCATTTTTTAAGCCCATGTAGTGATGTCCTATAATTTTTGATCAAACAAGTTCACAGTGAGAATTAAAATTTCAAATTTTTTTCAAGGAAAAAAATGTTTAACTCTGCATTTACTGGTATAGGCTGCTTTAATAAGAGACACAGTACAGCAGCTTAAACAAGTTTTGTTATGTGTATATTATCACAATAGAAATACTCAAACATGTAATTAGTTGTTTAATATGTTTCCCTTCAGCTAGAAGATAAGCTTTGAGAGAGTGGGACCTTCTTCACCTTATTTATTGATCTTACTTACTGCCGTATGCCCACCACCATCTAGTGCAGTGCCAACCACATACCAATAACTCCATAAATATTTGTCAACCGAATAAATAGTCCTTGAATCGAAATTTGGGGGGGCAGAGTTTGCTCAGGAAACCAGTGCCCCATGTAATGAATTACTTAGGAAACATTGGCAGGGGATTGCATAATTTGCTGCTGATAATATTCAGTTGCCATAGTGCTTGGGTGTTTGTGAACATAGACCTTGATTAAATCTGGAAAGAGACGAAAAATAGGTTTCATGTTACATACTTGTAGTCATATACTTTTTATTTATTTATTTTCGTTAATCCTCACCCGAGGATATTTTTTCATTGATTTTTAGAGAGAGTGGAAGGGAGGGGGAAAGACAGAGAGAGACACATTGATTGGTTGCCTCCCACACAAGCCCCAACTAGGGCCGGGTATTGAGTTTGCAACCAATGTATATGTCCTTGACCAGAATCGAACCTGGGACCCTTTAATCCACAGGCCAACAGTGCTATCCATTGAGCCAAACCAGCTAGGGTAGTCATATTCTTTAAAAAAATATATTTTTAGAAAGAAAAGAAGGGAAAGGGAGAAAGGGAACATTAGTGTGAAAGCAGAACATCTATTGGCTACCTCCTGCACACTCCCTACCAGGGATCAAGTGGACATGAGTCCTGACCAGAATTGAACCAGCAACCTCTTGGTACACGGGAAGATGCTCAACCAACTGAGTGAGCCACACTGGCCAGGCCTACCTATAGTCATCATATCATCATGTTCTTTTATTTTTTAAATCTTTTTGTTGAAAATATTACATATATCTCCCCCCTCCCCATTGACCTCTTCTGTCCTTCCTCCACCCTACTCAACCTGCCCCAGTCCTTCACCACCCTATTGTCTGTGTCCATGGGTTATGCATATATGCATACAAGTCCTTTGGTTGATCTCTTCCCACCTACCCACCCACCCCTGCCTTCTCTCTGAGATTTGAAATGTATTCTTAATCATCTGGTCCCCTGCAGAAGAGGGCTTCTTCTGTTGAGCCTTTCATAATGATGGATTTTTGAATTTTAAAATACTGTATTTTCATACATTAGCACAAATAACTTACAGTTTAGCACAAATAACTTACAGTTTAGCCCAGCTGTGGGCAAACTACGGCCCGCGGGCCAGATCCGGCCCGTTTGAAATGAATAAAACTAAAAAAAAAAAAAAGACCGTACCCTTTTATGTAATGATGTTTACTTTGAATTTATATTAGTTCACACAAACACTCCATCCATGCTTTTGTTCCGGCCCCCCGGTCCAGTTTAAGAACCCATTGTGGCCCTCGAGTCAAAAAGTTTGCCCACCCCTGGTTTAGCCTATAAAACTAGACCTAAGATGAACATATAAAGAGTTTGATTATAAAAAGTAAAAGAGAGAGAGAGCATAGCAGGGAAGTGGGGGAAGAAATTAGTAGGAAGCAAAGGGAGGAAAAGGATGGCTCCAGAGAAACAAGCAATGGCAATTGAATATAATATTCATTAAGATTAAATATTAATGTGACTGTGACCCAGCAAGCTCACACCTGGGAATCTATCCCACAGAGATAAAACCACTGTTCATAAAAAAGCATGTACATGGAAGCTGTTGCAGCATTATTTATTGTGACAAAAGCTGGAAACAAAGCTCGTGGCTGAACAATGCTGGCAAACCGGCACCATGGATTATTATTCAGCCACTAAAAAGACTGAATTAAATCTAAACCAACTGACTTGGAGAGATTCCTATGAGGTATTGTGGAATGAGAAGAGAAAGATGCAAAAAAATATATGTAATCTGATCTAACTTTTGTAAAGCAAAATAATGACAGGAAACCCTCCAAATTTCTATACATGATTTTGTGAGCGTGGAGAAAAACATGGGAGCACGCATGCTTGGTTGGTGATCTGGCTTGGGTGAGTGTTGGTGTGGGAATGGCTGGCGATGGAGGGGGAAAAGAAAGGGAGGAAGAAGCCAAGTAGAAAAGACAAAAGCAAAAATATTTCACTAAAATAATAAAAGCACATATAACATGCATTTATGTAAAATCACATAAATTTTGTAGTATAGAAAAAACGTTTTTAAAAAATATGTTTTTACTGATTTTAGAGAGAGGAAGGTGGAGGGGGAGAGAGATAGAAACATCAGTGATGAGAAAGGATCATTGATCAGCTGCCTCCTACACGCCCCCTACTGGGAATTGAACCATGACTTCCTGGTTCATAGTTTGATGCTCAACCATTGAGCAACACTGGCTGGGCAAAAAATGTTTTAAAATGATGCAGAAAAAATTAACTACTTCCTTCCTCCAGTCAAGGGGCAGCTCTTTAGTGATTCCATCATTTCTGAAACATTCTTTTTAATGGCAGAGGGATGAGACAGCCTTACACAACATTGATCTCTAAGATCAAGACTCTTGATCATGGTTGGCTTTCCTATCTCCTACTGATGGGGGAGGGACCTGCTGCCTGGAATGTGGGCAGCCAAATTACTTATTTATAATAATGGAACAGGACCTTACAAGAGAGAGGGTATAGCAGGGTAAAAGCTCCCAAGGGTAAAAGCATACATAAATATTGAGGGAGAAGGAAGAAGTTTGGAGAACACTTATGGAAGGTACCATTTTTTATTCATTCTAGAATTTAGCTATATGCTTATAAGCAGTGATTAAAAAAAAAAAAAAAAGTGGCCCTAACCGGTTTGGCTTGGTGGATAGAGCGTCGGCCTGCGGACTCAAGGGTCCTGGGTTCGATTCCGGTCAAGGGCATGTACCTTGGTTGCGGGCACATCCCCAGTGGGTAGTGTGCAGGAGGCAGCTGATCGATGTTTCTTTCTCATTGATGTTTCCGACTCTCTATCCCTCTCCCTTCCTCTCTGTAAAAAAATCAATAAAATATATTTTTTTAAAAAAAGTGAACTCTGAAAGTGTAAAAAGGAGCCCTGATCTAGTCTTGGGGGTCAAGGAATTGACTTCTTCCTGAGGAAATGATTCTGAGTAGAGATCTGAATGAGTTAAGCAGATGAAACAAGGAAGAGTGTTCCAGCAGGAGGGAATAGTACACACAAAGGCCCTCAAATAGAAGGGACAAGGCATGTTTGTGGAACTGAAAGAAGTTTAATTTAAGCAAATACATAAATTTCTCTTTCAAGGACATGATCCTTATGGTTAGTGAAATATATTCTAACATTTGCACCAGCTTGAAAGACACCATTTATTCTCTGTCCTTGGAAATACCCACTGTGGTTTTTCTGGCAACCCAGAGAAACCTGACATTGGTTTGGGAAAGTCTAATTATTCTTCATGTAAGACCCAGCTAAATGAGTAAAGTCTTTGTGTGAATTTGGCAAAGTTGAGTGATTTGTTTGTGTCATTTATGATTTTAAATAACATTAGGAAATAGCTCATTAATTTTGGTCTATCATACATTGAAATGCAGTAGCTTTGAAGATCATTT